GCCTCGAGTGTCTTCTTCATCTGTGAGGAGACCGTCCAACATTCGCTGCCGTAAAGAAGGACAGATGTCACATAACATCTCAGTATTCTTTTCTTTGTTACCAAAGAAATCCTCCTATCTCGCAATACTTTGCCTAGTTTTGGGGATGCGTCCTTGGCTATCCCAATACGTCTACGGATCTCAGTGTCGAAGTTACCGTTCTCTGTTAAAACGCTTCCCAGATATTTAAACTTCCGCACTTGTGTCCCCGACCTGCAAATAGCATTTCGGGCTCATCCTTTTACTGATGACCATGCATTCTGTCTTCTTGTCGTTTATGCTTAGTCCCTTCGTCTCACTCTCCTTCACTACCTTCTGTGGAAGATTTTGTAATTTATTTTCCGTGTCTGCTATCAGTACTGCGTCGTCTAAGATACGCAGATGACACTGGGTTATATCGTACCAATATCACTTGTAGAGTGACCTGACATAAATAACATAATAAATAAATAAATAATATATTTTTGCATTTAGGGGGGCAAATGTTCTTTCAGTCAAATATTATTAAAGACAACAGGCATTTTGTTTCGATTAATTTTACTGATCAACTTTTCTAAATTATGAATAATTCTCCTCAGACAAGTGAGACATTCTATCAGAAATTGTCAGAAGTTCATTTCGGGAGAAAAATAAAAGAAATATAGTAAGCCATCATTAGGGTCGATAGAGAGATGAGAGTCGTTCAAAATTTTCTCGACCTCAACCAGAAAGAAGAGCCTTAGCCGAACATTTTTTGTGGTGGCAACACGCTACCACTTCTTATAAAACTAGAAAAAGAAACTAATTTAGAGTTCTAACTTAATTTCTGTGCAGGTGAGGCCCATACAAAGGTAAGGAGTGTGTGACAAATCTAAAATGGCGAGTTTCGTAGAACTAGAGAGTGTTGTGACGTAGGCAAAGTGTATTTTGACGTCAGTGAGGGCTTTTTCATTTATATACATCTGAGGACGCGGACACTTAAGTTATAATTGTTTTATATATTGATAGTTGTTTTGGTTGTATGAGCATTGCTTTAAGGACAATAAGTCTGTTTTTTACTATTTCATTTTACAAGTATTTTGGTATTGTTTGTGACTAGCTGTTTAATGTTACTATGATTCTTACGCTACTTATTAATGTTCTGTCTGATGGCACTCTGATCCGATAAATGGCAAGTAATATTAATCATCACAACAAGTCTGTTGTCTTTAATAATATTTGCCTAATATATATATATATATATATATATATATATATATGTATGTATGTATGTATGTGTGTGTGTGTGTGTGTGTTTGTGTGCGTGTGTGAATGTGAGGGCGTGTGTGTGAAATAAATAAAAGGCTGGCCGATCGTATCAGTGTCTGTTAGGGTGGCCATTTCCTATTATAGGCATTTGTGTTTCTTCAACACCCACAGAGTGCACTTGTGATTTATACTGCTACAATGCTGAGGGGACCTTAGTTACAGTTTCTGGGAGAAAGCACATTATCTGGCGTGATCAACAGTTTGAACAGGGACAGCTCACTCAAACTCTCTGTCACGCTGACTTACAACTTCGTGCTAGCTCATCAGCCATCAGCTCCCATATGAAATAGTGAAATATAAATAAAAAAAACACTTCCCTCTACTCAATTTCACTGACGAGTCAATCCGTGTTATGGATTTCAGGCGCTAAATATTTTCTACAAAAAAACAAATGCACATCAACTACAAACAAGATGAATCTTTACTTAGAAATATAAAGAAATACGCTACCCCAATTGACCCAAATAAAAAAAATCAAGTTAATTACCTACTACAAAAAATTTAAGACAGCTAACCTTATCCTCAAAAATAACAACACACCAGCAAAATCAAAATTGCAACGAACGAACATTATCTATGAGTTCGAATGCCTCTTAAGGAATTGTGTTCTTGATCAAATCAAATTCATAAATAATTATATCGGTCACACTACTACATGCCTATCCCGACGACTTACGTTACATCTATCTGACCACATCTTTATTAGAATCCATTTAAACACACACATAAACTTACCAGACTCCATCCGAAACATACTAGTAGAAAATACAAACGTAATAACCTCATAAACTTTTTAAAAAAAAGATTAAAATAATGGAAGCCTTAATAATAAAAAAGAAAAAGCCAACATTTAATAATATTAACTACGAACACGGCCACAATGTGCTAACAGTGTTCGGAAAATAATGCATTCTTATAACTCTAAAAACATACACACAACCCATGCAACCTAATTAAAAAGCAGGAATAAAATCATCCTAAAAGTATAGCCGAAAGCGCTCGGAATTACAGAACATTTGGACAGTTTCTACAAACACTGTGTCCAAAAAAGAAAGCACTTGTTCGAACACAAGAAAAATCAAATAAGAAGATTAATAATCGTAGTACTTTGTCGTCTTTAATGAAACACACACACACACACACACACACACACACACACACATGTATATATATATATATATATATATATATATATATATATATATATATATATATATATATTGTATATTTGGACAGGAATTCCACTTTTATACAAGTATCATTAAAGACGGTGTGTGTGTCACAGGAGAATCTGACACTGTTATTTTTTAAAAGGCCCCAGTGGTCAATATTCCAATCCAGATAAAAGATGCACTATTGTGTACTGATTTTTAAGGCAAGTAAACTTTGTTCAGATGTAATTTTTACTCTTCTTTAGCCTCGTGTCATAATTACGTCAAATCTAATACCAGTTTGACTTCAAAACATCATAGATGTAAGATACTGGAAATGTACTCGTTAAACCCGCCCAGTGTCCCTCCGGCCGAACGAGACACCAATTAATTTTTGTGATAAGCATATTTACTTGTTACATTATACGGTGTAATTTATATCGTTCAATCCTGGCTCGGAAGCATGATGTCACTTTTCTCTCAAGTATGAAAATACATATTCAAGTTAGGCTTAGAACCTTGAGCAGCCCGAGGTCCAGTTTATGAGATGCAGGTGGATGTTTCAAGATTGGCTCTGAGAAAATAAAAAGTACCTAATGACACTTCTGCTTCATATATGATACTGATAAGCTTTTTTTTATACATTTTTTTTCGGTCGTTATACGCTCCGGCCTTCTTCAGGTGGTTGGAATGTCGAACTGAACCCTTTATTTCACTCACTGGGGTAGACTGTTCTAGTTCCACGTGCCATGTTTAATGGATGTCAGTTGTAAGTTATCTCCTGTTAATTCCCCTCTTCAAGTTCTCCACTGCCTTAACTGGGTATTGAACTCACACTCTTTGTGTCCTGTCACTGGATCTAACTAATGCGTTTATCCACTGTGTCATGTGTCCTTGAGGACATCTGTGTATGAATTTCTGAGTATTATAAACCTAATGTCTTCAGTAACCGTTTTTACCAGTGCTCATGTTGCAATTTTTGTTGTTATCGCTTTTCTATGGCCCTCCTTATTAATTGGCTCATATTGTATTCATTTCTATGTTTGGTCGGCTCAGGAGATTTTTGTGGCCTAGCATATGTGCTGATTCCTTACGTTTACGAATTTTCAAATGGTGTTCTTTGTCTATGATATCAACCTGATCACACAGAGGGCGGTGATCTCCCTTTTTTCTCCATATGGGGTCAGCCACGCCTGATTTTTCCATTTCCCCTTGTGTTACAGCTTTCTGGTATTCTTGAAGAGGGCGGCCTGTCTCCCCTTTATATTTTTTTCCGCAGCTGCATGGGATAGCGTACACACAGTCTTTAGTCACATTCTCCTCTATGGGGGGGTCTTACTCGGGAGAGATATCTGCGAAGTGTCGTCCAGCTTTTGAAGCTTGTCCTGATGTTATTTGGACCACGGTTCCTTTGTATTTTCTCTGATAACCTCTTCACATAAAGCAGGCAGACTGTTTTCTGAGTGTTGTTGTCCTCCTTTTGTACCCGCCTATTTTAGGGATTACTGCCATGTACCCAGGGTAGTTGTTATATTTTTCTTTTAGAAAGAATCTTCAACGTGATCGGTCCTGATATGGTGTCTCGGCTCCAGTTATTTTCCCCACACTGCAATAACGTAGTTTCCCTCTGCCTTTTTCACAAATATTTTCATTGTTCTGATGAGCAATACTCTTTGGTAAATCGAATTTACCAATTTTAGTGCAGTACTAGATTTGGCGGCTAGGTCTCATCATATTACAGTTGAAATGACTATTTGTAACCGTAAGTTCTATGTTATCAGTTTCTTCTCTCGCACTTCTAACTTGTGGAATTCTCTTCTGGCTCCTTGCTTTGCAGTCAACGTTGATTTTCAAAAATTTAAATGCAACATCAATCGCTATTTTCTGTCTTCTTAATTCCTGTTCTTTTATTGTCCTCTCTCCTTATTAATATTTTCATTTTTCTCATATTTTTTCACCCTTTGTAACCTCTTGCATTTTAGTGACTTTATTGCCTTCCTAGGGGTTGAAATAACGGTTAATCTTATCAAAATCAAGAAGGTATAGAAATTCAGCTATCTGGTTAGTATAGTAACAGATAATGAAAAATGTTACAGACAATCAGAGTCAGGGAGAGACAGGGAAAGATGCCTTTCAGAAATTAAGCAAAGTATTAAAACATAGGAAAATTATCTTATATAAAAAAGACTACTGAGCTTCTATGTAATATGTAATCTCCCGTATGGCAATGAATGCTGAGAAAATTCCTCACAGATGAATAACAGACTGTAAATGACAGAGATGTGGTTCTACAGAATATTAAGAATACCGTAGACAGTAAGTTTGGGTGTGCGGGTGGTGTAATGGATAATGGCTCGAAACTGTTAATCGGAGAGTAGAGTTCTCGTACGATCACCAAAGTTAAGCAGCGTCGAGCCTGGTCAGTACCTAGATGGGCAACCGCATTGGAATACGAGATGGTGTAAGCTTGGATGTGCGGGTGGTGTAATGGATAATGGATCGGAATTGATTAATCAGAGAGCCGAGTTCCCGTACGATCACTGAAGTTAAGTAACGTCGAGCCTGGTCAGTACCTAGATGGGTAAACGCTTGGGAATACCAGGTGCTTGGATGTGCAGGTGGTGTAATGGATAAAGGCTCGGGATTGTTAATCGGAGTGTCGAGTTCCCGTACGATCACTAAAGTTAAGCAACGTCGAGCCTGTTCAGTACATAGTTAGGCAACCGCTTGGGAATACCAGGTGCTGTAAGCTTGGATGTGCGGGTGGTGTAATGAATAATGGCTCGGAATTGTTAATCAGATAGTCGAGTTCCCGTACGATCACTGAAGTTAAGCAACGTCGAGCCTGGTCAGTATCTAGATGTGCAACCGCTTTGGAATACGAGATGGTGTAAGCTTGGATGTGCAAGTGTAATGGATAATGGATCGGAATTATTAATCGGGTTCTTTACATTCGCTTATGCGCAAATAACCTTGGTATGAATCCACCTCTTCTCCCCCAGCTATGGGTTAATTAGCAAGAGTTGTATCACTAAATTATTATTATCTCCTCCACAAAAGAATCTTAGAATTTAAAAAAAATATTTTCTGGCTTTAAATAACCTGCAAAGGGTTGTTAAAACTTAGAAAACAAATCAACCATAAACAGAACATGTAAACAACTAGGAAGTCTCCAGGAAAACATGTATCTTTAAATGGCGCAGGATGCTACTAGGGCGGCTAGATAATCCCCATTGCAGACGCCTGCTCAGACAGATTTGTATTTGTTCAACACCCACATAGCCGACCTATGGTTGATACTGCAACTATGTTAAAAGGACCTTAATTACAGTTTCTGTGAGAGAGTGCGTTATCTAGCGTGATCAACAGTCTGAACAAAGCTAGAACGCTCAAACCCTCGGCCACGATGACTTGTGACTTCGTGCTATCACAACCAGCAAGGGTTCCCTCTACCCAATTTTACTCACAAGGTTTGGGTTTGGTTCGGGGTTTTTATATAACACCTGTTAGGATAAAGAGTAAACCCCCAAACTGGGGTCAAAACTCTATGAACGCATAAAAATACATTTTCATTGAATTTCGGCATTTAGACCCACAAGGATGTTGACATGCCGCTAAACAGGCAAAACAAACCAGTTAAATTAAATAAACTTTTATTTCAGTAAACAAAAAAATTTCTTCACATAAATGCAAACACAAATTTAAAAAGTTATGCAAAATAAAAAATAAAGTTATGCAAAATAAAAAATAAAGTTGTATTAACACCCCAGTAAAATAAAAAAATGACACTTTAAAATTATTTTATTACATAATTTAATTTTATTACAACTAAAATATAGAGAATAGCACCAAAATCCCCAAATCTTTCTGTAGCCCCCATAACATTTAACAGGGCCCCTTTGTAGCCATGTGGTCCCCGGATAAGAACCACCGATAAAGGGACACAACACAGAACGAGAAAGAATGGGAGAGAGAGTGGGGGAGAAAGGAGGTGGGGTTATATTAGATTTTATTGTATTGAGTTGTCCGGATTTCCAAAATGAAAATATTGGTGTTACTGTCTTGAAAACGACGTTGCCAAATGAAATTGAAAAAGAAAGCAAGGGTGCGCGCTGCTAGCTGCAAAGAATTTCATGATTTTCATGTCTCGTTTCGACCTCCATACACCTCGCCACTGAGAATGGTTCTCCCGCGTTTTCTCAGGCTTATTAGACTCGAAGATCAAATTCACTGACCGAAAAATGGACAAAGGTCATTAGTTAAGTAACCCTAGAGGGTACTGAATTCCTTTGCCACATAACATCTCCGAACCTGGGTCGAATATTAAAACTCCTTGGGGATATATTTATTGCATTTAAAAATTCCACTCTGGCGAAAATTAGCATAAATTAAGAGCTTAAAAAATTTCAGTTCTTGATATCCGAAAGCTTCATGATGAGTGGCTTGTCAACAGTTTTGTATAGAAAGAGTGTGTTGCGCCAAGTGTCCAGATGGGAGGACATTACAACCTTGAAAACCAGAATTAGAGACTTTGATATTTGCATGCGCACCAAACACTACTAGATCTGACTAGCTTAGGTGCTACCGATTATTATTATTATTATTATTACTATTATTATTATTATTATTATTATTATTATTACAACATGCCTTCACGCAGGCGGCGTTTCATTCCTTTTGACGCGTTCATCAACAGGACAGCTTTTTTTTCATTGCAAGACAAACAATGTTTGCGCAAAAACTAATAATTTTTATAACTTGAAGAAGACAGACATTGTGTTGAAATATTGTTTAACATTGTCAAACACTTTGTTTTTTCTTTTCTTTATATTTTCTTAACTCACGCTCTTCTCTTAAGTGTTGAAAAATATTGGAAAACTTACGTCAATCATTTTGTTTCTTCTTCTTCTTCTTCTTCTTCTTCTTCTTCTTCTTCTTCTTATTATTATTATTATTTGTGTATATTATATTTCCTGCTTTGTATTCTATAGAACCCGGTCCAAACAATCGTCCTTGGGCTCTATAGAAGAATTGTCATTTAATTGATATCACTTTTATTAGTATATTTAAAGAGAAAGAACGTATTGTTCTGATCTTCCGAACAAATGTTGGAGGGCCTTCTTGTCCCCAAAATTCAGGATTTTAGCCATAACTGACACCAACTGAATGCATGCAGCAATCAGAATCCTGATACAGACACTAATAACGACAATTATATCTGATTAAAAAGAGCAGGACGCCAACAAAGTAATGCTGAGGTACAAATATACAAAGTCCAATATACCCAGTCTCCCAATTTTATGAGGACAAAATAGGCAAATACACATTCAAATGTGAAAAGCACTCTTTATACAAAGACTTATAAATTTTTGTTCATTTATATATTTTTGTACTTTATTTTTTTAAAAATATAATTTGAAGAAGATAGACATACTGTCGAAATATTAACATTGTCAAACACTGCTTTTTCTTTTCTTAAATCACGCTATTCTCTTAACTGTTGAAAAAGATTAGAAGAGTTACGTCAATCATTTTATTATTATTATTATTATTATTATTATTATTATTATTAATTGTGTATGTTATGTTTCCTGCTTCGTATCCTGTAGAGCCAGGTCCAAACTATGGTCCTTAGGCCTTATAGGAGAATTGTCATTTAATTGATAGCACTTTTCTTAGTATATGGTATGTTCCTAGTAGGGCGATCCTCTGGGCAACTTGTATGTTAATGTTACCTGGGACACTGTTAGTAAAATTCTCCATTCCTTTTCTTACGAGGCCCAGTGCTCCGATTACTATTGGTACAGTCTCAGTCTTCATTCCCCACATCTTGTTAATCTCGATCTTCAGGTCCTTCTATTTGGACAATTTCTCGATAATTTTTATGGAGTGTTTCTTTCAGATGGTAGTACTATGTCAATAAGCATACACTTCCTGGATTTCTTATCTCTTATGATAATACCAGATCTGTTAGCTCTTATTTCACTGTCAATTTGAATTGGCATGTCCCAGATTATTATTTTATTTCCTTTGATTTCTGGTGTGTACTCATTTCTTTCCGGGTCCCGACCAGAGACATAAGGTGAGAAATGGCATCATGAAATTTTCTATTGATCAATTTTGAAAAAGAAATCACGCATATTTTACATAGATAAAGCCCTTCGTAAGGTGTGGGCTGTACTCATGAGAACAATTTTTTGTATTTTTTACTTATTTATTTATTTATTTATTTATTATTATTTTTATTTTCTTTGATTTCTGGCGTTTACACATTTCTTTCCGGGTCCCGCCCAGGGACCTAAGGTTAGAAATGGCGTCATGACACTTTCCACTGACAAAAAAAAAAAAAAAAAAATTACATAGATAAAGCCCTTCGTAAGGTGTGGGCTGTACTTGTCAGAACAATTTCTTGTATCTCCTTGAGGCATGGACTTCCAGGAATCCATTCAATTAGTCTACTGGAATCTTTTCCAACCAGTCCTAGGGCTCCAACTACAACAGGGATTGTTGATGTTCCCATATGCCACATTTTCGAGATTTCTATTTCAAGGTCCTTGTACTTTGACAACTTTTTGAATATCTTCAAAGATACATTGCAGTCAGCAGGGACTGCCATATCAATAAGGAGGCATCGTTTTTGTTTGTGGTCTTTAATAACAATATCTGGCCGGTTGGCCTTGATTGTTCTGTCAGTGTGTATTGTGTAATCCCATAGAATTGTAACAGGTCCTATCTCCGTAACCGGGTCTGGGTGGTGTTCATACCAGTTTCTTTCAGTTTTCTTCCCGTATAAGTTATTATTATTATTATTATTATTATTATTATTATTATTATTATCCTGTCCGATTCTTAGAATGTTTTGGCCAGGTGATGATGGTAATAAGTCAGTTCTTACCCGCAGCTGAAAGACAAACCTTTTCTGAGTACATGAGCTGTTCCAAGCAGCGCTGTCTCCGTGTACTATCAATGCGTCTTGCAAGGCAGAAAGATTCCTGGAAATAGTCCCGATTGAGCCAGCCACAAAAGGAACAATACGAGTTGCTGCTTGGCATATTTCTCTGATTTGCCCTGCCAGGTTTAGTTATCTCTATATTTTCATTTGTCCCGTCTTCATGATGTTCTAATGCCAAAGTACAGCAACGTCTATTAGCGGCCATTCGTGGGCACAAGTACGATTGCTATCCAAGCTCTTGTCAATCAGAGCGGTTCTATCTCACATGAGCTTCATTCTTGGCGATTGATGATGTTGATTACTTGTACCCCTTCTATGGTCACTCGAGGCCATACTTCCTATTGTGGCTTGTTTAGGGGCCAGAAAGAAAGACACGGAAGACGTAGGTAAGTTGAACAAGTGTATTGAAATAACAGATATATACAAATCACGAATGTTAGTAATAAGCAGTACGAAGTGTCCGTCCGAACGGTCAGGTTACACTGCGTCTCGGCTGATCACGTCTCTCCCACGACTCTACCCCAGGAAGTCTCGCAGTTAATATTTATGAGAGGAGGAAGAGTTCATTCTACTGTAAGAGGGTTTACCACAACAGTTTCCAATATATCCCGATATATATATATGTGTTGCATACTATTAGTAGTTTTTTCAAATGTGTTACAGTGGAACCTCGGCTCACGAATTTAATTCGTCCCTGAAAGTCGTTCGTAACCCAAAATGTTCCTAAGCTGAAACTATTTTCCCAATAGGAATCAATGTAGAGAAAGAAAAAAACTCACAGCACAACAAAATTAGAAAATAAAAACACAACACAACACACGAATGTATAAAACACGGCTGACGACTCAGAAATGACACCGTTCGGGTTAACTCGGTTCGGCAATGTTGTTTGAGAACCGAATTTTTGTTCGATAACCGAGGCATTTTCATCTCGAATTTTCTGTTCGAAAACCTATTTGTTCGACATGTGAGACGTTCGAGAACCGAGGTTGCTTTGTATTACTGTTGTTGTTTCCGGGTCGCAAAGCACTCTGGGATAGCGCTTTTGCAACATTTATTGCAGTTGAATAAATTGAAAAAAAAAATGCTGTTCATTTCATGGTTTATAATAATTGTCGTTAATTATTAACTGTTATACGGACAATAAATTTGATATGTTCATCTTTCGAGGAAGATGAAAAAAAAAGCTCCTTTTGGAATTAGTACTTACCTAATTCAGATCAAAAACGTTTACTAAATTTAACAGAAGACTAGAGGGTTTTATAATCGTCACCTCCACATTGACGAGATGCGACATATAGTTAATACTTAAGATGGGGACATATAGATGCGACATATAGTTAATACTTAAGATGGGGACCAACACACGTCTTCATGTTGGGGCTGACAAAATTAACCTTGAAAAATATTCCGTCATCTGTGATTGCATCAAATTTTATCACGCCCAGGCACTATTGTCTCGACTGTCGATTCGTTGTCCTACGGCCATTGTCTGAGGAAGCGTACGAAAATTGTAACGCTGCACGTCAAGTCTTACCACTGAGCAAATCAAAGTACTATAGACTGGCTCGGAAACTCCCCTGATTTAAATGCAATCGAGAATCTGTGGTCAGTCTACAAAAAACGACTTCGTGAAATGGATACACGATGTACTAATATGTGCACTGGGTCATGTTTCATTGGAAAAATACGAAAAAAAGTAAACAATAACGAAATTATTCGTTTTGTTTCAATTAATTTGCATAAGGGTGTATATAACATATGATTTATTATTGCACATTAGATTACAATAAAATTTGTATTTTTTATGTATAAGAATTGAGATGTAGTTGAGTAGAGGGCTGTATCATAAATTCGGGTAGGGGGCGTATCATTGATTCGGGTAGGGGGCGTATCATTGATTCGGTAGGGGTCCACGAGACCCTTGCTCTGAAATTAATGTAGGCGTTAGATAAAAAAAAATGAATTCTATGTATAAGGTTAACGGATTTATTCATGTAAGCGTTGTGCAAATTTCATGATACAAATGTACTGGAAAACATTTTTTGTAATGTCAAAGAATACTCGTTGCCACTTTTGTAATGTCAGCGAATACGCTTTCGTAATGCTCCTTGTAGTAGAGACTTTGTAATCGCAGATACAAGTATGGTAACGCCGTTGAACAATACTGGTGTCAGACGCCTTTAAATAACACTCGCACTAATAGTACTTGCTCGATAATACTCGCTGGAAAAGCCACCACCGAATAGTGAGCCGAATAGTAATCCGTATAGTGATCCAAATAGAGAAATAGTATAGTAAATAGGGTAGAGAATAGCGGTCCATATAGTAATAGAGGATAGTGTAGAAATAGCGATAAATTAGACACCACGCTAATTCCCATATATACATTTCCTTTACCATCACGTGATCTACTTATTCAAAATGGGTTCGCCTGTGTTTGCTCACTGGTAATCTGGGTTCAAACTCCAGTGTCGGCGACGGCACTTTATTCCTATATAACAATTTTACGATAGAATTGCATTAAAAATAAGAAAAATACCATTGGTAGCAGAAATTAATGTAAACTTTACTGATAAAATAATGTTACTATATAAAGTTTCAGTATATAGCTGCATTGAAAAATATTTTATTATAGAAATGCAGTGAAAATCAGTGGTCAGGAATTAATGCAGTTAGAACCCGACTACAATATTGAGTTTATTATTTTAATGACACGCCTTTTTATCTTTCTCTTTCAGAATATAAATGCTGTATTAACATCTTCATCATGTGGCATCAATTGCCTCCATGTCAACATTTTTATTTTTACTTCAATATTGTTAACTTTGGGCGTTTACAGATCGAAATAAAAGTAGTTTTATTTGTGGTTTCAGTCTCTGTGTTCTTAATGTTGTTATTTTGAGGTCGGAGATATGATACGTTTACAAGACGACACTGGACACGTTACTTGGCATTTGGGATATTGTCGATAGGGAGCTGTGTCACCAGAGAAAGAATTCTGGGTATAGGGCGGATAAATCTTAAGAGGATGATGAAAAGGTGATGAAGAAGACAAGAAAGAGAAGAAAAAAGGCAAGATAATTAGGAATAAGAAGAAGACAAAAAAGAAGAAAATAAAGATATGCAAGAAGAAATAGGAGGCAAAAAAAGGAAAAAGAAAAAGAAAGAAAGAAAGAAGAAAGAGAAGACATGAAAGAGAAGAAAAGAAAGAGAAAAAGAAAGAAAAAGATAAGAAAAGAAATAGAAGTAACGAGAAAATAAGACAAGAAAAAGTAAAGAAAGATAAGAAAGAGTAAAAAGAAGACAAGAATGTGAAGAAAGAAGAAAAAGAAGAAAAGAAAGAAGAAAAAAAGCAAAAGACAGAAGAAAAAGAAAAGAAAAAGAATCAAGAAGAGAAAGAAGAAAAAGAAAGAGGAGAAAGAAGAAAAAGAGAAAATAAAAAAGAGTGATAGAGAGAAGAGGTGATGAAAAGTCGCAATAGGGATGGAAATGAGAAAAAGAAAGAAAAAAGAGGAAAAAAGGCGAAAGAAAAAGAGGGAGAAATAAAGAAAAAGAAAGAAGAAAGGGTAACTTTAGAAGAAACGGGAGTAGGAAATCAACAAAAAAGAAGAAGGGGCGAGGAAGCTCAAGTTGGGGAGTGATGATTGGAGAAAAGAAGAGGGGGTAGTAATAAAGGCGGGAAAGGAGAAGAAGAAGAAAAATCATAACGCGATTTTTGAAAACGTGTCAATTTTTTAAGCGAGAGAAAAAGGGCGTAACGGGCAGAAACATAAGAAATTCGAGCGCGCGCGCGTGTGTGTGCGTTTGTATGTGTGTGTTTGTATGTGCGTGCGTGCGCGCGTGTGTGTGTGTGTTCATGCACGCGCGTGCACGCACGTATGCGCATGCTCGTAATTAAAATTCAGTTTTATGGTGGTGGGGTTTGTCCGCCGTTATCGACAATGACGTCTCCATTTCGAAAGAGCGATAATAGCTATTGGACTTGATAAACCCGTTTTCCTGTTTTAAGAGAAAGATTTTCTAAATTTCAACCGAAAACAATACTGGCTACGCGGACAATGAATGCCAAATCTTTCCTTGTAGAGAAACGGATCATATTACCACTTCCATTATGGAAAGATAATATAATTGCGTTTTTGCGTTCGTTCGTGAATATATTTTTCAATAGTCAGTTAAATTTAAGGTTCCCGTCATTTAAAGAATTGCTCGAATAGCTAACCACAGAAGCGAAACCATTTTATCAGTGCGCTTTGCTGACGTAGAAATAAGCATATCTTGATACATTGAAAAATGATAAATAAGGCTATAGTACACGAGCACTAAACTGAATACTTAAAGGTGATAACAATTAACCTAGTTTCATCGAAAAAAAATAGTATGAATTGAATTTCTACAAATATTCCGTACTCAGTCGGAATATTCCGTACGCAGTAAATGGAAAGTGTTTTTTTGTGAAATATGCTGGAGAAGTGATAATTGAATTTTTAAAAATTCTATTCTTCCTACAATACAAGAGCCAAAGTAGTGGGTTATAGAATTACCATAATTCCCCATGTATAATAAGCCTTCATCCATAATACGCACACCTAAAATTGTACTGAAAGTATGGAAAATGCTTCTTCCCATGAATAATGCGCATCCCTTGTTTGGTAATCAAACCCTATAAATTGTACCTCTCCAATTTCAATACGGCCACCGATTCCTACTATTATTAAAAAAAATGATTTTAAACATAAAATAATATTATTCTAATTTAGTTTTATGATAATTCTTATTTTATTTTACGGCTATTTTTTAAAGACTTTTTGTAGCTGTACATAATACGGACCCCTAATTTTCTTTATTATTTTTTAGAGAAAAAAAAATGCGTATTATACATGGGGAATTTTGGTAGGTTTCCATAAAAGCGTAAGAAGTGCATTTTATGGGGAGATGTAGAAGCGATGACACTAGATTGAGGAGTCTAATGTCATCGATTACAGTGATTGTGGAGAAGCATTCTCCCGGAAGTTTGTTCCACGAAGCAACAGTTCTATGGAGGAGTTTATCTGAGTAGAACTTCCTCTTTACCAATGAAATACGAAGGGAATGGAGATAATTCGACCCTGTGTAAGTTGCATGGAGAGTCACGGAAGGTCTGAACTAGTAGAACTAAAAAATGAAACTCGTCTGAAGGATTCCCGGAAGCTAGCAACGTTCTGTCTGTGGGAGAGGGGCTTTGCAAGGAGGAAAATAATTCATCACACACTGTGGTATATCTTTGCCGTTTCGCAAATAATTTTCAGCCGAACTTTTTTTGTCCAAAAATATTTCTTGACGGCTAACAAATTTTTCTTTTCTTTTCTTTTTATTTGTTGCATTTTTCTTTTCTTTTTATTCTTATGGATTGTATTTTTCTCTTCGTCATCAGAGTCCGGCTTTTGGTCAGAAGATGAGAGTAGGCAAGTCTGTTGTAAAAAAGAAAGGTATAATTGATGATAGGGGTGTTAATAGATAGGGTGAAAATCACATATCGAATCTTGTATAATGGTCATATGGTACCGAATTATTTTTAACCCAAATCTCACTTGCCTTTAAAACTCGCAAAATTATATTGTTTAAGATTAGCTATATTTATAGAGGAAGTGTGCTCAGTATGAAATATAAAGCCTTTGTATACATAGACAGTATGGACATAAAAATCAACACTGCATAGTGACTGTCACTCTACAGGGGTCGGCAACTTTTTGCTAACTATGTGCTGACTTAGGGTTTTAAAATCATTCAGTGTACCAACAGCTCACGTATTTTTATACAAGTCAAGATCAATATACCTGTTCTACAATATATTTTATATAGTAATATATAGTAGATATACTTTAGTATATATTAAAATTGAAACAGCTAACTATCTTCTTTGCGTTGTAGTAGTTATCTGTTCGGACTTCGTGATGTCATTTGCGGCTGCGTGCCATTGGAAATGGCTTGGCGTGCTACGTGTGGCACGCGTGTCATAGGCTGCCGACCCCCTGCTCTATTCGATTCACGCCTCGGGTAATCATCAGGCCATACCTGATAAATCGCTTGAGACGTGAAGTTGATACCATGCTGTATGATTTCTATCTCCATTCTCTTCCTCTCTCTTTCTCTCTTTATCTATCTTTTTATATATATATATATATATATATATATATATATATAGTTGGATTGGTGTGAGTTTGTGACACAAGGTTTCACGCTATTTGCGATTGTCAGGCAAACGAATTAAGTTTTAAATTTTGGATTTATATATGGTTGCGTATATCGGTGTTTTTATGGAAGTGGGAGGAAAAATTGTCGTCGGGACTCCACTCATACTTACGCAAACATACATACACGCACGTACACTCATTGATGTTCGCCGACACACACACACACACACACACACGCTCACTGACTGGAGCTCACCCAAATATAAGTATATGTGAATAGTGTGGGACTGGGCATTTACGCGCATCCATGTGTCGTTGCGTATATACGTACGCATTTGGTTGGTGGGAGGGTGTTAATTAAAGTGTACATTACTTTTTTTTATCCAGCGTCGTATGTGCTTAAGAGGAATTTTCATGAACCATCTTAACCATTATATATATATATATATATATATATATATATATATATATATATAGGGAGAGAGAGAGAATAGATATTCGGTATATTTAGGCAGTAATAGTTCCTTGAAACATGTACTGTTTGAAAAAGTAGATTATTTTACGTTTATTATATTTAATGATGTATTTACTAATATACGAATATCTTTTCGCAATACGGCTGTTGCCTTGTAGATAAATTGATCAGAAACCTTGGGACATAGCGTGAATTTTGGCCATTTCATCCGCATATTCACATTTGCGAAAGGATAGTTGTACACGAGAAAAAAATATTAAATATAATAGACACAAAATACCTATTGTTTTCAACAATAAGGATAGAATCTCTGACTGATGCCAAATCGGTCGAGTTTCGATTCCGGCTTGAAGCAATCGAATGTCTCGCCACACTGATGAGCTGTCATACAGCGAAACAGGCTTGTATGTGGATGAGTATTTATGCTCTCGTTTCCAGATTGAGCACTCTAGAGAAAGGGTAATTAAAAAAAAAAATACAGTGGCTGCTTCTGCTATTAACGCATGGTTCTTCTGTTATGAATTGAGCGCTCTTGGCTACTGGTGTTTATATACATCACGTATATAATACGTCAAAAATTTCCCTTTCTCTGCCGTGCTCCGATAGCTTACGAGTAGAATCTCTGACTGATGCCAGATCGGTCGAGTTTTGATCCCGGCTTGAAGCACTGATGTGCTGTGATTTAGAAACAGGCTTGTATGTGGATGACTATATATATATATATATATATATATATATATATACCTCTCCCAAAATGATACCTAGGGTTTAAAATGCATTTCTAAAATTAAAAAATCTTTCTTGAAGCTTTTATTGTAGTTTTAATTCCAAGCCAATAGATTAAATTTAAAATTTCCAATAAGCAAAATACATGTCTGTACTTCAAACCGAATTTAAATTGATTGGAATGACTTTTTTAAAACGTTAAGTTCAGCCATATCGACAAATCTAGCAACACAGCATAATTCTCATTATTAAAAATCTTTCAAAAATAAAATAAACTTTTCTGAAACTTTATTTGAGGAAGATTAACTAATTTAAAATTTAATTAATCTGAATTAAAACAAATATTACTTTTAGCTTGAAATATGGCAGAAAGGTATTCTTTAACACAAATGTGTGTGTTTTTATGAGGTGTTGACGCATCTATCGATAACCTGATGTTTGCGAGATTTATATAAGGAGGAAATTCTTGTAGTAAAATTACATAACGAATACAACAGAAATGTCTTTTTTCGATCATTTTTAACTACCCAGCAATCTTAAAATAATTTAAGCATTCTAATATTTTATTGATTTTAGATACTTTGGCTTTATAGTCTTACTTACGAAAATACTTCTTCAAGAAACGTTAGAAAATTTCCGATAAAATTCAAATTTACTATAGTTACCACGCTTATTTTCTGATAATGTCGTGGATGGACATCCGTATTTACAAAAAAAAAAAGGCATGTTTATACACACACACACATAATAAATTCAAAATTATTTTTAAAACAATGGGGCTATAGTAACCTTTTTCCATTTATAATTAGTAAATATTTTTTTATTTAATAAAAATATCACGTGACCGATTAAAATTAATACAGAATTTTAAAAGTATTCAAGCATTATAATTATAATCTAATTCTAATTAGGACTTTAAAAAAATAAAACAATTCTCGTAAAAATTAATTATTCATCGAAAAAAAAAGATTTCTTAATACAATATTTCCCATAATATATTTTATTGATAAAAGCAATTAAAAGCATTTCTAATTAAATAATTAAATTACAATGACGCCGAATTTAAAACTGTGGAGAGAGCAAGAGAAATTACTCCATTTTCTTTCTCAAGAAGACATTGCAACTTGCAGATCATAATAATAATAATAATAATAATAATAAGAAGAAGAAGAAGAAGAAATATGTAAAGGGCCTTGATCACTTGAAGAGACATGGCTTAAAAAAACCTGTATTGAAATTACTTTCTTCCTGGCTGTAAGGCAAGGATGCGTCTTCTCACCCGACCTGTTCAACATATACAGCGAGGCAATTTTGAAAAACCAGGAAACCCTACC